CAGAAGGGGATCAGTATGTGTGGGTGAGTGGGTGAGGGAGGTGTTTGCTGGAGGTGTATCTTGGAGTGGACAAGAGAGAATGTAATCTAAGGCTCCCTGAGGGTCTGGTTTCAGGGAGGAGCAGACAGTTCATCCATAGCAATAGGAGGCAAGAACAGGAACCAGAACACAGACTGAAGATGTGGTAGTGGGAAACACACCCTCCCTGATTGCTTTTTTTTTTTTTTTTTTGAGGTGGGGGGGGGGCGCAGTCTTGCTCTGTCATCCAGGCTGGAGTGTGGGGGCACAATGTTGGTTCACTGCAACCTCTGCCTCCTGAGTTCAAGTGATTCTCCTGCCTTGGACTCTGGAGTAGCTGGGACTACAGGTGTGCGCCACCACACCCAGCTAATTTTTGTATTTTTAGTGGAGATGGGGGTTTCACCATGTTGGCCAGGCTGGTCTTGAACTCCTGACCTCAAGATGATCCACCTGCCTCGGCCTCCCAAAGTTCGGGGATTACAGTTGTGAGCCACTGCAAGGGGCCAACTGCTTCTATTTTCTTAATGCAATAAGCAGTGTCCTCAGCTGAGAAAGAGAACTGGGGAGAGGCATAGGAGGATTGAGGACATAGGAACAGGTGTTAAGCAGTACTCCCTGGGGAGTGGCAGAGTAAACAGACAAGGAGAGTGATAGTTTATGTTTGTTTTTTTAAATAAATCTTTAAAGGTTCATAATTCCCCCACCCCTGTGAAGTAACAGGCATGCATCATGTGTCCTTCAGGGAAAGCTCCTGGGAGCTCCCTGTCTTAGTCCATCAGGGTGCTGTTAAATACCCCAGACTGGGTAATTTGTAAATAGAAATGTACTTCTCCCAGTTCTGGAGGCTAGGAAGTCCACGATGAAGATGCCACAGGTCCAGTGGCTGTTGAGGGCTCGCCCTCTCTGCTTCCAGCATGACACCTTGTTGCAGTGTCCTCACATGGTGGAAGGTGGAAAAGGGACAAACATTCCCACAAGCCCTTCTATGAGGGCAGTAATCCCATCCACGAGGTAAGAGCCCTCACAGTCTGATCACTTCCTAGTGGCCCCACCTCTTAGTACTATTGAACTGGGGACTAAATTTCAACATTAATTCTGGAAGGTCACAAACATTCAAACCTTAGCACCGCCCCATAATGTTTATGATTACATACCATTGTCCAGAAAGTAATGACAGAGTCAGTCATCTCTGCCACCAAAAGAGGCTGCATGTTGTCTTTGTATTGAATATGTGTCCTCCTAAAAGCCAAGATTCATTATGTGGAAGAAGGCAAGAGTGGAGAGTCAACGACCAACAGCCTCTATCACTTTTTTGTGACACAGTCTTGCTCTGTTACCCAGGCTAAAGGGCAGTGGAGTGATCTCGGCTTGCTGCACACTCCACCTCCCGGGTTCAAGTGATTCTCCTGTCTCAGTCTCCCAAGTAGTTGGGATTCCAGGTGTGCGCCACCAGACCTGGCTAATTTTTGCTTTTTTAGTAGAGACAGGGTTTCACCATGTTGGCCAGTCTGGTCTCAAACTCCTGACTCAAGTGATCTGCCTGCCTCAGCCTCCCAAAGTGCTGACATTACAGGCATGAGGCACCGTGCCCAGCCTCACCTTTAATCTTATCGAAGCCTTCATCTTAGTTTCTGTAGAAATAAGAACTTTCTTCAGCATTCACAATTTATATGCTTAATAAAAATTATGCATTTACCATATTTTCAACAATAAAACTTTTAGCCCCCATATTTTATTGGTTTGTATAAAGTTTAGTTAAACTATGAAATTAAAACAGTTAACTGCAGAAAAACACAACTAACTTTTGGAATACACAACTGTGGGAGCTGTGTGTTCTAGCTCATGCAGCCCTTTAATGAAGAGAGGCACCTATTCAGAGGGCCAATTACAGGCCAGGTCTCCTACCGAGCAGTGTACTACGCGCATGCACACACGTGTGTGTGTGTGTGTGTGTGTGTGTGTGTGTGTGTGTGTTTGGAACAGAGTCTCACTCTGTCACCCAGGCTGGAGTGTAGTGGTGCGATCTCAGCTCATTGCAAACTCCACCTCCCTGGTTCAAGCAATTCTCATGCCTTAGTCACCTGCGTAGCTGGGATTACTGGTGCATGCTACCACAGGCCCAGCTAATTTTTTATTTTTTAGTAGAGATGGGGTTTCGCCATGTTGACCACGCTGTTCTCAAACTCCTGGCCTCAAGTGATCCACCCACCTCGGCCACCCAAAGTGTGGGATTACAGGCAGAAGCCATTGCGCCCAGCCTTACATTTGTATAGTTTTAAAATGGAATCTTAATTACACAGTTAACTTTACAAATGCATTGCTGATGCACAGGTGAATATATGCAAACATTCTGGAGAGGAAAATCTAACAAAAGCTTTAAAAATCTCATAGAATTGGACTTCGCAAACTCCTGGGCTCAACTGATCCTTGCACCTCAGCCTCCAGAGTAGCTGGCACTGTAGGTTCATACCACCATGCCCAGTTAATTAAAAGAAATTTTTTTTTTCTGAAGACCAGGTCTTGCTTTGTGGCCCAGGCTGGTCAGGCAAACCATTTTAAATAGAGAATCCTAAGGAAATAATTGAGGATACTGGCAGCAATTTAATAGGTTTATCTTTTTTTTTGAGACAAGTTCTTACTGTCACCCAGGCTGGAGTGCAGTGGTGCAATCTCATCTCAGCTCACTGTAACCATCCCCTCCTGGCCTCAGGCAACCATCCCGATTCAGCCCCCCAGGTAGCTGGGAATACAGGCACAAGCCACCACACCTGGCTAATGTTTCTATTTTTTGTACAGCCATGGTGCCCAAGCTGGTCTCCAACTCCTGAGCTCAAGTGATACACCAGCCTTGGCCTCCCAAAGTGCCAGAATCACAGGCGTGAGCCACCACCATGCCAGGCCACATCTTTTTTTTTTTTTTTTTTTTTTTTTGAGACGGAGTTTTTGCTCGTTACCCAGGCTGGAGTGCAATGGCGCGATCTTGGCTCACCGCAACCTCCGCCTCCTGGGTTCAGGCAATTCTCCTGCCTCAGCCTCCTGAGTAGCTGGGATTACAGGCACGAGCCACCATGCCCAGCTAATTTTTTGTATTTTTAGTAGAGACGGGGTTTCACCATGTTGACCAGGATGGTCTCGATCTCTCGACCTCGTGATCCACCCGCCTCGGCCTCCCAAAGTGCTGGGATTACAAGCTTGAGCCACCGCGCCCGGCCTGACATCTTTTTTTTTTTTTTTAATGATGAAAAACTAGAAAAAAACTAAATGTCCCAGAAATGGGAGATCACTTGGGTGATTTTTATAGTATGAAGATGGGTACCAATATAACCATTAAAGTTGACTTGTACAATGTAAGGGACATTTCTACAAGAATTCTTGCGATCATCTTGCCCTGGAGAAAGGTCCGAGAGCCACACTAAATATGGCCCGTGTAGGTACTGAGTGTGCTTTCACTGGGGATATACTGTTTTGAGGGAATGAACTGCAGAGAACTGCGTTGGCAGCATGGCAGTCTCAGGAAGCTTCACTCAACTGTGAATCCTTATGCCAACTCTTGTGAATATGGCTGGGTGGCATCCCCCACCCACTCCACTCCCTCACCACTTTGTAAGGTGGAACCTGAACTGCAGGGGCCAGAAAGCCAAATACCCACATTTCCCTAAATCTCTTGTGCTAGCGTTCTGGGCATGCCTGAGGTCTTAGGAGTTGAGATTTGAAAGGTGGAGGAAAATGTGAGGCCATCCTCTTCACTTTGGCCATTTTCCACTGCGAGAGTTATGGAGTGAGCCTGACGCCTCTCGCACAGCTCACACTGAATCTATCAGTGGATCACGGTGGTGCTACCCTTGAAATCAGTATCTAGAATCCAATCACTTCCCAGCACCTCTGCTGTTAGTGGCCTGGCCAAGCCATTGCCACCCACCGCCCAGAGAGTCCATCAGCCCCGCTTCCCACCTCACCTCCACACCACAGCCAGCTCACCAGGTCACTTTAAAATGCCAAGGTCCCTATGGTGGCCTAAAAGCCCTCCAGGATCAGGTCCCACCTCTCTCTCCCTCAGCTTCAGCCAATCTCTGTCTCACTCTTTGCTCAGCCCAGAGCACTCTCCCTACCAGCTTCTGATCCCGCTGGTTCACTTCCTCAAAGGATACCTTCTCAGGGAGGCCTACCCCACCTGCTGCATCGTGCCTGCCACCACCCAGAATCCTCCACTCCCTGCAAGTTTCCAAACTCCTGTCACCTTCTAACTTCCTTCCATATGCTTATCCCGTCTCCTCACTAGAGCGCAGGCTCACGCAGAACACTGCCTTCTGTTTAACCACGGCCACGTCCTAACTCCTGCAGCAGCGCCTAGCACACGGCAGGCACTTTCTTCGGTGTGCCAGGGTCCAGCTACAGCCGCGTGGTTCTCCTGAGGCAGCTGAGGCGGTGGGATTCCCTCAGGCCTGGCTGGCAGCTGTGGCAGTGTGCTGTGTTCTGGAACTCAGTCCAACTCCAGAGTCTCTACATTCCTGACTATGGCAGAGGGTATAGCTCCCTCACCATCTGTTCTATGGGGTTTTGATTCCTGGATGCTCAACCTATGGCTCACTCCTCCAGCCTTCCAAGGAGTCTATAAACTTATCTTCCTGTATTAACTCTTGCTGCTTAGAATGCCTAGAATGGTTTCTACTTGTCCAGTGAACCCTGCAAAATACGTAAGATACAGTCTCCAGGCCAACAGTGATCAAGGCTGCATTTTTCTTTTTCTTTCATATAAGCTTTCTCAAGATGTAAGGCTGCATTTTTTTTTCTGATTAGGTCTTAAATGTCAATGAACCAAATAACAAAGTCCAACTTCTGACTCCGTTTTTGGGGAGACAGATCAGTGGTTACCCCAATGGAAGAGAACAGAAGAAATGCTTTAGAAGAGCTGAGGCAGAAGGTGGCCACACAGAGGTGCTCCTAGAGGTGGCATCCCATCACCATCTCTATTTTGTCAGATGACACCCCTAAAACCCGAGTCCCCTCTGGGCCCCATGCTTTACCTGTAGAACTTTGGTGGAGCCTTGTGCAGCCGAACCACAATCCAAGAGGAGGTGTTCACACCATCTGTCGCTAGCACAGACATCTCGAAAGGGGAAATGCCCCAAACGTGGAAGTATCCAACACCAAGACTGGTTGGAGCACTGGATGAATGGCGTGGGTGCCGCCCTTTCACTGTGCACTGTCCTAAGAAGCCTCTTTTCCTTTGAAGAGCCTAGTGCTGAGTGCCCAATTCAATCAGACCACGTTGAGAGCGGTCCAAGGATTAAAAGATGCTACCTTTGGCCGGGTGCAGTAGCTCACACCTATAATTGCAGCACTTCGGGAGGCTGAAGCAGGCAGATCACGAGGTCTGGAGTTCAAGAACAGCCTGGCCAACATGGTGAAACACCAGCTCTACTAGAAATACAAAAATTAGCCAGGCGTGCTGGCAAGTGCCTATAGGTCCCAGCTACCCAGGAGGCTGAGGTGGAAAAATTGCTTGAACCCAGGAGGCAGAGGTTGCAATGAGCTGAGATCAGGCCACTGCACTCTAGCCTGGGTGACAGAGCGAGACTGCATCTTAAAAAAAAAAAAAAGATGCTACCTTTTAATTCCTTCAGCTAATTCAGAAGTATGTGAAACACAAAATACTCATTAACATGGAAGAACTGCATATGTCCAGATGTGAGTATATATTATTTATTTTTCAGAGACAAGGTCTCACTATGTTACCCAGGCTGGTATTGAACTCCTGGGCTTGAGTGATCCTCCCACCTCAGCCTCCCGAGTAGCTGGGACCAAAGAATTATATATGTTTTTGAGTGAGATACAGTACATGATAAAACCACATATTTATTTTATTTTTATTTTTTTGAGATGGAGTTTCGCTCTCGTTGCCCAAACTGGAGTGCGATGGCATGATCTTGGCTCGCTGCAACCTCTGCTTCCTGGGTTCAAGTAATTCTCCTGCCTCAGCCTCCCAAGTAGCTAGGATTACAGGTATGTATCACCATGCCCGGCTAATTTTTTGTGTTTTCAGTAGATACGGGGTTTCAACATGTTGGCCAAGCTGGTCTCAAACTCCCAACCTCAGGTGATCCACCCACATCAGCCTCTCAAAGTGCTGGGATCATAGGTGTGAGTCATTGCATAATTTGTATCACATAACTTAAACCACATAATTTATATCACTATAAATAACATAAAAAAATTTTGGAGACTGAAATAAGACATGAGGAGTCATAAAAAAAATAATGAAATCATGTCCTTTGCAGCAACATGGATGGAGCTTGAGATTATTATCCTAAGTGTACTTAGAAACAGAAAATCAAATTGCACATGTTCTCACTTATAAGTGGAAGCTAAATAACGGGTACATATGGACATAAAGATGGAAATAACAAACCCTGGGCACTCCAAAACGGGGTGAGTGGGAGGGGGCCAACGGCTGAAAAGTTACCTGAGTACAATGTTCACTATTTGGGTGACGGGTACAACGGAAGCCCGATCCCCACCAGTAAGCAATATACACAAACATGCGCATGGGGCCAGGCGTGGTGGCTCACACCTGTAACCCTAGCACTTTGGGAGGCCGAGGTGGCTGGATCACTTGAAGTCAGGAGTCGGAGAACAGCCTGGCCAACATGGTGAAACCCCGCCTCTATTAAAAACACAAAACTTAGCCGGGTGTGGTGGTGGGCGCCTGCAATCCCAGCTATTTGGTAGGCTGAGGTGGGAGGATCACTTGAACCTGGGAGGCAGAGGTTGCACTGAGACAAGATCACACCACTGCACTCTAGATTGGGCGACAGAAGGAGACTACATCTCAAAAAACACAACAAAACAAAAAACAAACATGCACATATACCTCCCAAATCAAAAATAATATACACTAAAATGTTAAAAGTGAATTTAGTAGAATAAATGGTGACTGAACATTTTAAAAGTTCTGCCGAGATGAACACTTTATGATTTGACATTGTAGTATTTTCTGAACGTGGCAGCAGCTACTATGGTCTATCTAACTGCCACTCCAGCTTCTTCCCTACAAACAAAACCCCAGCTCAAGGGTGACAGTGTGCTCCACGCCAGGGGATACACTAGTCCACTCACCCCCTTTGCCAGTGCCTGGTTCAAGAGTGGGCATGTAGCCCCACTCTATAAAGAGATGGGGGTGAGGCTGCTGGAGCTGCTGATGGTTCTTCCCGGAGAAGGGCAGAGCAGAATGAGAACACACCTGTGCCACTGTCCACTCTGGCTGTGCGCACCGTCATCTGGAGAATGATGCTTGGTGTAGGAGCAGCCACATTGCAACACTGAGGATGGCAGAGCGAACGGTTCCAAGGAAATCCCTGATGACATTCTGGCTTCCACCAACTCCAGAACCATCTATTTACAGACTTCTTGGTACGTGAGATAAACACTCTCATTGCTTAAGCCACCGTCAGGCTAATTTTCTGTTACTCGTGCTGATCACATCCTGTTATAAGCAATTATCTGTCTGGCACCCAATACACGCCTCCTGTTCACTCTAATTTAAAAGCAACCCTCTTAGAAAAAAGTCACTTTTTTCTAAAGAAGGCAGAAACAAACAAAAAAAAAAAAGAAAAGAAAAGAAAAAAGTAAAAAGTCACTACTATCTCATTCTTACATAAAATAAATAAAATCAAGCTTAAAGAGGGTAAGGGATTTTTTTCCAACCCAAAGTTCACTGGTGGAGTCGCATTCAAACCCAGCCATGACTCGACAGCCCAGACTCTGCCACTTAACCATGTAGTTAGAAATCTGCATAAGCCTGTTGTCCCTTCTTTCTCTATTTAACAAAAAGCATATGCACGGATGCAGTTAGCAGCAAATTTGCATCCACTTGCACTCATGTATGAATCGGCTTTGGGCTTCTCTCCTCTGCCATTTGTACATATTCCTTGGTAGAAATGCATGCCTCAGAGCCCAACCAAGAAAGCAGACTCTCCTCTCTTTGCCCACATTTATTGATGAGACCTAATTTGTGCATCAGGGATTTAGGGACAGGCCGTGTGGACTTTGATGCAGAGTCATAAGGTTCAAGCCAAGACAACTGAACAGGTGAAATGAACGCAAAAGCAGTGCATGCTCTTCCTCAAACTTTCTTGGAAGAGTCAGAAAACTAAAGATTGAAAAATACCCAATATCTAACATTGGGCAATTGAGTTCATCCAAAAAAAAAGCAAAAGAGAGTATTTCTGAACCAAAGAAACAGAACGCAAAGAGAGGATGAGAATGGCGACCAGCTGGCAGTGCATCAGCTATCTGAAGGAAGGAAGGGCTGAAGCCCACAGCTAATCAAAGGTTAGCCCACCAAAGAGGGCTTCCCAGCACATGTTTCCAAGGAACCCTTTCTGCTCCAGTCCTCTACAATGAGAAGAGCCCAGAACACCACTATCCAATGGAGCTGAGATGAACTTCAGCTCCAGAAAGGGTGATGTGGTCAGCCTCAGAGCTGCTGGGCGGGCAGGTTGAGGGCTCTGTCGGAAAAGCCCAGCCTTGACAAATGAGTAACAGGCTTGAGGAGCTTCGAAAAGAAGGAAGGTGAGCCTGAAGGAAGACATACCCAAAATCTAAGGAGCCACTAGAAATCGGGGATGAGGGTGGGCAGGAAACAGTTTTTCCTAAGCCCCTATGGTTCATTCTGTCCCAGAGGCCATGTGCCATGACACCAGCAAAGGGAAGCTGTGCCATCGTCTAACAGCCACACACGCCACCGCATGAGGCCTTTTTTTAACCCGCAAGCGTCTAACCACCTGAACGAGGGAAAACCCCAACCATACTGTCAAGACAGGGGAGAAGCTGTTCCTCCAGAGATAACGCAGTACGATGACCAGGTAAAAAGAACAAGATCACAGTCCCAAAAAAGTAACACTGAGTAGATGGCTCTGGCAGTGCTAGGACAGGAGACAGTGGGAAGCCTCTGATCCTGAAGTTTCTGAAGTCGGCATCATCAGCCAAGTGTCAAAGAGGCCACTGTTCAATACACCCCTGACTTCTCTTACCAAGGGTTTAGTTTTTTGTTAGCAATATTTGACTTCAGCTCATACGTGAGTAATAACTATAAAGGTAGGAGTGCAAGAACATGTCCTTGGCACACCATGTCCCCCAAAGGCTTTTGCAGGGTGCTGGGAGGGGTCTCTGATCTCTTCCTATGACCCACAGCTATTACAGCAACTCACACAGGAATAGCCTGGCTAAGAGGAGCCAGGAGAAAAAGGCATAGAACAGCCTGACCCCGTAAATTTAGGTCATCAGGCCCAGGGTGAGGGCGGGATATAAAGCAGGAAGAGGCAAGAGCAAGGACAGGAGCAGCTCTAGTCACTGCTTTTGAGACTTGGAATCTCTATTTTGTTTGAATATAGACTCAGGTAGAGGAAAAGGACACGAACATTTACTGAGTGCCTACTGGTTCCGGCCTTGTGCAGGGGTTTTCATCTCTAACAGCCCATGAATCCTCACGCCAACCCTGGGCGGTAGGTATCATCCCCAAGCCTCCTCTTCTCACGGCTCCTCTTTCACTGCCTGAGTGATAGAAATGGAAGGCTATCACGTGACCACCATCCATACCAGCACACTGTTACCAGCCCTTTGGCCCCATCTGCTCCACTGTCATTTAGCCAGGGAGTGGGAAGGAGGTACTGGTTACGGAGAGGGGCAAGAGACAACACGTTTCAAGTCTTCCGTGACTTATCTAAAAAGGGACATCTGAGGCTGGGCCCACTGCTCCATGTCAACACATGAACCCTCTGCGAGGGAGAATCGAGCATCTTTGTTCAGCTCATGTATCTTACAGTCAGAAAGGGAGAACCTGCTCACGCTTGCGTTGGATGACGAATAGGAGGCTCAGAAAGGTTAGGTAGTTTGTCCAAGGACGCAGAACCAGGAACTGGCAAGCTGGGACCAAGTGCTTAAGTCTCAGATTCAATCCTTGCTTTCTCTCTGATGCTGCTTCTAGGAGGAGGGACGGAGCATCAGCAGAAGCTGCAGTTCTCACACTTCCGTCCCTGCAGCCCAACAGCCCCCAGGAGAAGCCAGCCCCTTCCCACAGACCCTCCCCACCTACCTTGGTAGGATGCATCAGTGGAAGAGATTAAGACATAAATATAAAAATAAATAGCAGGGCCAAGTCCCCAGCAGCAAAGATATGCCAACTCCATGCTGCAGGAAGGTCACTGTGCCATTGACAGCTGCTGTGGGAGGAAGCCCAGGGGAATCTGGGACAATGGCTGCCAAAGGCTGGAGTGGATAGGCTCAGTGGGCCCCTTCTGGGTCTCACAGATTCAAGAACAAAATGTCTGGAGCAGGCAGCAGCCGCGGGCACAGGCGCCGTCCTCCTCCATCTGCTCATTTTACCGGTGTTTGTGATCCAAGAGAGACTCAAAATCAGGGGAACATACAAGTTTGTGCTTCACGTGTCCCAGGACTGTCATCTCCCCTGTCCTACTGTCTCCAAGGCCCACGGACACCAGCTCCTGCCAATTGACAGAGACGGTGATGAGAACCACAACCACGTGCACAGCGTGTAGAGCTGTGAATGGGAACGTGATACTCCCAGGAACCCCCTTCCTTATTTAGCACCGGCACTTCAACGCTCCTCCACTCCTTAAAAGCTCCTTCCCTGGCCCTAGGGAGGCTCTTACCTGCAGGAAGGAGCAGGCGGTTCCCATGGTCACATCCAGAGTCACCTTGCCCAGGAGGAGCTGCACCCTTCCAGATTTGCGGATGAGTAGCTTGCCAACCTGACCCTCTGTCAGGTCAGCCAGGGTACAAGCATTCTCTGCCAGTCTGGCTTCCTGTGGAGAAAGTCAGAGGACGAACACTGGGCTAGGAGCTCTTTCCTCCATCTTTCATGCACCCCCTTCTACCCATCAAGAGACAGGCACGGCAAAGGTCAGAATGAGCTCTCCAAAGAGTGCCTTCTCCTAGGGCTGTCTGCCATGGTTAAAATACAAAACCCACAGCAAACAAACGTACAAATGGACAAAATATCAGTAACTGGTGAAGCTGTGTTTCTGGTACACAGCAGTGTCTGTTCTCTTTTTCTGGGGACAAGGTCTGTCTCTCTTGCCCAGGTTGGGGTGCAGTGGTGCGACCTTGGCTCACTGCAACCTCTGCATCCTGGGCTCAAGCCATCCTCCCATCTCAGCCTCCCAAGTAGCGGGGACTACAGGCACATGCCACCATGCCTGGCTATTTTATGTATTTTTTTGGTAGAGACAGGGTTCCACCATGTTGCACAGGCCAGTCTCGGTCTCCGGGCCTCAAGTGATCCTCTCTCAGCCTCCCAAAGTGCTGGGATTAGAGGCATGAGCCACCACACCTGGCCATATGTTCTCTCATTTGTATGTGTTTAAAGTATTTCCTTATAAAAATTAAACACACCCACCCCACATACAAACACAATTGAAGTTGGAGGCACAAAGCCCCATGGCTCTTGCAGGCTCCAAGAATAACCAACCATTATTGTCCAATTCTAGCCAGGGTGGCACAGCTTTGCTTCCCACTACAGGTTACACTTCCCCTCCCAGTCCCTGCCTCTATTCCCGCAGGTGTCTGCCTGAGCATACCCGGTCCTTCTCCTGCTTGATGAGCACCATCTGGCCATCCTCGCCCTGTACCTCTGTCTTGATGGGCTTGATGTCCTGGGTGGGCGGTTGGCCAGGGAGGGTGTCTGGCAGCTGGAGAAACAGCAGTTCCTCCTCCTTGGTGAGGCTCAGCTCCCTGAGAAGCTCTGCCACAGATATGTCCTTCGGGAGGCCTGGAGTCTTCCTGGCTGCTTTGGGAGGAGCCTTCATCTTGGCCTCCTCCTCCTCATCTCGAGGCTCCTCTTTCACTGGCCGGGTGATAGAAATGGAAGGCTATCATGTGACCACTCTCCACACCAGCTCACTGTTACCAGCCCTTTGCTCCCATCTACTCCACTATCACTCACTCAGGGAGTGGGAAGGAGGGTTATAGAGAGGGGTGCAAGACAACGCATTCAAGTCTCATGTGACTTAACTAAAAAAGGACATCTGAGGCTGGGTCCACTGCTCCACATCAACACATGAACCCTCTGTGAGGGAGAATCAAGCATGTTTGTTTAGTTCCTATATCTTACAGCCAGCAAGGGAGGACCTGCTCAAGAGCAGCAGTTAGGGCCCCATGCAAGGGATACCTGATTCCAGGGATTCCTGGGAGTAGCCATGGAATTGTAGATGAGAAGTTAATGGACACAGAGTACCTTTCACAGCAGGTACGTCCACCTCCATGTCCTCTTCCTTGGGGCCGGTCAGCCACGGTTTAACATCTGGTTCGTCATTTTCTTCCTTAAAAAGCCATCCCGAGTGAGCCAGGGGCAGCTGCACAGGCATATTTCGAGTGTCGTTCCTCAGCCCGGGGTCATCGAGGAACTGCCAAAAAGAGTTGGGGTCATCCAGCCTGCTGGCACCCACACCTGGCTCGAAGTCTGCTTTAGTCCCTTTCTAACCAAAGATTCCTGCTGCTCCCCTAGATTCCAGGATATCAGTGAGCTCTTCTGCCCCTCACCTGGTTCCCCAGAAGCCCTGTTCTACAGCCACAAGGAAGCCCCTTCCCTGAGCCTCCGGGTACCCACATCGTCCTTCTCCAGCATGCGCAGGATCTGTTTCGTTTCTTCGTCTGTCTCTCTCTTCTCTTTTTTGATGTTGATGATATGAGAAGGTCCCATGTCTGACACATCCACTGTCTTATCCCAGTTTCCTGTGGGAAATCACCCGGGTCACTAGGGATCAATTAGGAAGATGCCAACAGCATGGAAAACTGAACTGGGAGCGGGGAAATTCCATTGCTCTTGCCCTTCTCTTGGGCAGTCTGAACTGAAATTCACTACTGATTCCTTCTTCGTACCTTTTTTCTTCATCATTTCGGCTGGGCCCTGCTCAAAGATGGAGTGGGACTGGATCACTTCTGGGCGGCCTCGCCCTCGTCCATGCCCCTCTCGCTGTCGGTCTCTGTCCCTCTCACGCTTCTCCTTCTTGACAGTTACTTCTTCCTTGGGCCTGGAAAAGAGAATGGATTAAGGGAAACCACTCACTCACTGTGTCTCCAAAAACTGGCCTTAATCTCCCATACCACCTCACTCCAAGACAGTGGAGAGTCTGAGCCAATAATTACACTATGAGAAGCAGAATCCAATCCTAATTCTAGCACTTTTCTCACTTCCTTGATGAGGCAGGATTTTTTCAGTTTGCTTTACTTGACCTTGTCCAAAAATGTAGTTTGTTTTTTTTTTTTTTTTTTTTTTTTTTTTTTTGTTTTTTGCATTGGGACTGAAAGCAGGAAGGCAGAAATCCAAAGGAACTTCAGGGAAAGGGTGATACATCTTTGTTTAGACTAGTGACTCTCAACTCTGGCCATCAGAAAGAATCACTCCATTCTACTGTCAACAAATTAAATCACAATTTCTAGAGATGGAGCCCTAGACGTCAGTTATTTTTTTCTTTAACTTGCACATCAGAATCACCTAGAAGCCAGGATTGAAAATCACTAGTGAAAAGAACTAAAACATAAATTTAAATATCAGAGCCACAAACCTAGTTACTTCCCCCAAGGCCACATATTCAGAGAAAGTAAATAAGGGGCAATTATTCAGAAGGCCTAGCTACTTACTCTTCCTTGATCTTCCGACTGATGATATTTGGGGTGAAGGTTTTCTGAAAGCAAAATACAGGAGTCATTGATGTGTTAGGTTCTGACCCCAAAGTACAGAGGAAAATAAAAATTCCCGAAGGGCACTGTCTACTGACCAAGGCCAACATGGTTGTCTTTGGCACATTCCACAGTGCGGTCCGTTTTACAGAGACAGATATGTGACTGAAAAGAAGGAATGTCATGGTGTGGTGGCAGTGGAGTTACACATAAAAGAAAGGGGCACCAAAACTCGTTTGTAACCAGCAGCCTTAGGTTCTGCCTCTGAAAGAATAGTCTCTGGGACTTCTAAAAGCAAAGGAATTTCTCTAGTCTCACCTCTTATCTTCAAATTGCTATAGAGACCAGTGAGTATAAGGGAACTGCTCTAGCAGCAAGACCTAAGTAGGGAAGACGACAGATCTGCCAACACTCTCAATCAGGGGATTATAGACTGTCACAATTCTCCAAGGCAAAGTTAGGTGGTTTTTTTTTCTTTTGAGAGGGAGTTTCACTCTTGTTGCTGTGGCTGGAGTGCAATGGCACGATCTCCGCTCACTCCAACCTCTGCCTCCCACGTTCAAGCAATTCTCCTGCCTCAGCCTCCTGAGTAGCTGGGATTACAGGCACCTGCCACCACACTTCAAATCGTTGTATGTTTATTAGAGACATGCGCAGCTAATTTTTGTATTTTTCTGTAGAGATGGGATTTCACTGGCCAGGCTGGCCTCAAACTCCTGACCTCAGGTAATCCGCTCACCTCAGCCTCCCAAAGTGCTGGGATTACAGGCGTGAGCCACGGTGCCCAGTCGCAAAGTTAGGTTTTTAAAAACTGACAGTTTTATTCTTCTGCCATCCTGACCCCACCCCTTTCAGAGCTACTCTTGACATCCAGTCATATGCACATGGGAGAGACCACAGAGCCTCACACGCTGTGCCTAGGATTCATTATACCCTAGATAAGAAGTCTGCACACCGAGATGTTGAATTCTGAACCCTCTAAGACTGCAAGATTTATGCTGGCCCGGCTTTCATGGGTTTCTTATAGATGTCCAAACACACAATGAAAGTAAATAAACACTGTTCAAGTTGCTTTTGAACAACGTTAACTAATTAGGACTCTCTGTCCTTCAACCACCTCTGAGAATCATTTCATCATCTGTACTCAGTACCCAGATTTGAAGGTAGTACAGGCTCTCTGGAATTTAAAGAGGGGTAGGCGTGAGGCCCAACAATACTCCAGACACACAGTAGGCCCTACACGAACATTAGTTGAATCTCGCGGCTTGGAATTCAAGGTAGATGAGTTTCTTTAGAAACGCGCCATTGGGTACCTTCTTGACTCCCCCGAGGGTGAGGTCCCTGGAACGGATGGAGGGAAGGCGGCCGGGGGTGAGGGGGGGCGCCGGCCGCCGCCCGATGAGCCCCCGGGCCCCGGTCAGGAGGGGTCGGGGCCCTCCCGGAGTGCTGGGCTCGCCGGCGGCGTTTCCTTCCGACATGTTGCCTGGCAGAGAAGGGACAACGAGATCACCAGAGGGGACTGACACGCGGACCCTGGCGGAACCCCACCCACTTGGCTTCCGGTCCCCCAGTCAGCGCGTCCTCCAGTGGCGTCTCTGTTCCTCCCCTCCCACGTGTCAACACTCCCCAGACCACCCAGGTGAGAGCCTTTGGCTCCCGACACGCCGTCTCTCCAGGAACCCTGCCCAAGAACCAGGCAGGGACTCACCCGGGCCACTGCTCCACACCACGCCTCACGACTTCACCAGAGACGCGACCCGCCGCCAGCCTTCGGTCTCCGCGCCGGGCGGAAGTCTGCGTGGCATGGCCTGGGCGCCGCCATCTTAGCGCGGGGCGGAAGTGACGTTCCAGGGGCGGGACTGGGCCACAGTATTTATCAGGCGGCGCTTCGCTCCCCTCCGCCTTCTCTTCCCGGTTCTTCCCGGAGTCGGGAAAAGCTGGGTTGAGAGGGCGAAAAAGAATGAGGGGACCGGTCTGGGCTACGCTGTGACGCGGCGTTCGAGGGGGTCTTAGCCCCCGGGTGGGGGCGTGGAGGCGCCGGATTCAGACTCCTGGGCCGTGTTGGCCGCCACGCCGCAATGTGAGGAATCGCTGCGGCGGAGCCCTTGGGAGCTTGGTGGTCGCTGCTCGGGATGGGGCGAGGGGCGCGGCGCAGAGAGCGAGACCTGGACTCAGACTTGGGGAGTCCTGGGCCACGCCGAGCCCAGTCTCGGGTTCTCCATGGTGACCTTGAGGTGGACACTTCCTGCGGGCAGTGGCCTAGCCCACTTTTGGGGACTCCCTTCCCTGTGCTCCTGGTGGGATTCAGGGGTGAGGCTGTGGGGGCAGCCCTGGAACTGCCGCAATGGACCAACCGGTACCCAGCCACAACCGCCTTGGGCTCACAACGGCGGTGGCCCTCGTGTGCACTCTTGGTGAAAGCCTGCAAGGAATCGGAATACCAAGTTTGCTCTACTGTTGGAATTTAAAGAACTTCTATTGACTCCGACGTTTGTGATTTCACATAAAAAGTGTCATTTAATGTTACGCCCCAGACCATATGAAAACCATGTAACAATATTACGGGGAGTTTGAGGAAAGGAAATCATTTCTATTAGAATGCCACGTAGAGTACTACTATTAAAAATTTTGTGCCTGGGCGCGGTGGCTCAAGCCTGTAATCCCAGCACTTTGGGAGGCCAAGGCGGGTGGATCACAAGGTCAAGAGATCGAGACCAACCTGGTCAACATGGTGAAACCCCGTCTCTACTAAAAATACAAAAAAGTAGCTGGGCATGGTGGTGTGTGCCTGTAATCCCAGCTACTCAGGAGGCTGAGACAGGAGAATTGCCTGAACCCAGGAGGCGGAGGTTGCGGTGAGCCGAGATCGTGCCATTGCACTCCAGCCTGGGTAACAAGAGCGAAACTCCGTCTCAAAAAAAAAAAAAAAAAAAAAAAAAAAAAATTTGTAATATATCTAGTAGTCTTCACAAAGTTGTCGTATTGTATCACAATTTCGTATCGTTTTCTTTTCTTTTTTCTTTCTTTCTTTTTTTTTTTTTTTTTTTGGCGGGGAAAGAGGGGGACGAGGTTTCTCTCTTGTCCAGACTGCAGTGGTACGATTGGCTCACTGCAGCCTCTGCCTCACAGGCTCAAGCCATGCTCCCACCTCAGCCTCCCAAGTAGCTGGGACTACAGGTGCATGCCACCGTGCCTTTCCCCCCTCCTCCGCCCCGCACCTCGTAGGGAGGAGTTTCCACTGTGTTGCCCAGGCTGGTCTTGAACTCCTGAGCTCAAGTGATCCCACCCACCGTGGCCTCCTAATGTGCTAGAATTACAGGCGTCAGCCAGCGCACCTGACCTGTATCCAAATAACATTTCTCTGTTGCTGCATCAAAGACTGTGTCGTTCTCCAGTGGCTGTATCATGATTTAAGCAGTTCCCTGATTGTTTCTTTTTTTCCTGTTTTAAATAACGTTGTAGTGAATATCTGGTACATTCAACTGCTTTTTGTTTGTTTTCTTTTGGATTATATTCCTGAATAGATTTCCCGTCCTGGGATAACTGGCCAAAAGAAGATGCATTTTTTTTTTTTTTTTAAGTAAATTTTTGGGATGGGCATCGTGGCTTACACTTGTAATCCCAGTACTTTGGGAGGCAGAGGTGGGAGAATCACTTGAAAGGCTCAGCAGTTCGAGGTTGCAGTGAGCTATGATCTGGTCCCTGCACTCCAGCCTGGGTGATACAGCAAGACCCTATCTCTAAAAACATTTTTTAAATTAAACTTTTTATTTTGAGAACATTGTAGGTTCATGTAGAGTTGTAAGAAACAATACAGAGAGATCCCAAGTACTGTTCACTGTTTTCCCCCAATAGTAACATCTTGCCACCAGGATATTGACATTGCTACAGTCAAGATAGGAGAAGTTTGCAACACCCCAAGGATCCCTCTAGTTGCCCTTTTATAGCCACACCTCCCTCCCCCACCTCCTCCCACCACTAGTCTGTTCTCGAATCCTACCATTTTGTTATTTGAAAAGTGTTATATAACTGGAATCGTACAGTATGTGACTTCTTAGGATTGCATTTTTTCGCTTGGCATTGTTCCCCAGAGATCATCCAAGTTGTGTGTGTATCAATAGTTCCTTCCCTTTTATTGGAGCGTATTCATGGTTGGTTTAACCATTCACCCTTTGAAAGACATCTGGATGGTTTTCCGTTTGGGGTTATTATGAATAAAGCTGCTGTGAAAATACACGTATGAGTTTTTGTGTGAACGTGTTTTTATTTCTCTGGGATAATTGCCCATGAGTGTAATCATTGGGTGATATGGTAGTTGTATCTCAGTTTTATAAGAAACTGCCAAGCTGTTTTCCGCAGTGGCTGTACCATTTTGTACATGCACATTTTATGGTTCTTCATTCACTTTGCTAAATTGCATTCAAAAAGGATTGTGCGGCCGGGCTCGGTGGCCCACGCCTGTAATCCCAGCGCTTTGGGAGGCCGAGGTGGGCAGATCACTTGAGGTCAGGAGTTTCAGACCAGCCTGGCCAACATGGCGAAACCCTGTGTCTACTAAAAATACAAAAATTAGCTGGGCGTGATGGCGCACACTGGTAATCCCAGCTACTCCAGGGCCTGAGGCACAAGAATCGCTTGAACCCAGGAGGCAGAGGTTGCAGTGAGCTGACATCTCACCACTGTGCTCCTGCCAGGGCAACAGAGGGAGACTCTGTCTCAAAACCACAAAAACAATAACAACAACAACAACAAAAACCCCACACAAAAAAAGGACTGTGCTGAAATGCATCAACACTAAGAATGTGTGTATATACAATAACCAAGCATGTGTACACATGCACACACACATGTATTTTGGGCTCTTGGTGGGGTCCTGGGTGAGGCTGTGTGGGCAGCCCTGAAACAGCCACAGTGGATCAACCGGTGTCCAGTTGAACTCATCCTGGGCTCACATCAGTGGCCCTCGTATGCATTCTTGGTCAAAGCCTGGAAAGAATCTGAATACCAGGTTTGGTCTACTGTTGGAATTTAAAGAACTTTTATCGGTCAGTTGTGGTGGCACATGCCTGTAATCCCAGCACTTTGGGAGGCAAAAGGCGGGTAGATCACCTGAGGTCAGGAGTTGCAACCTGGCCAACAAGATGAAACCCATCTCGACTAAAAATACAAAAATTAGCCAGACATGGTGGTGGGTGCCTGTAATCCCAGCTACTCAGGAAGTTGAGGCAGGAGAATCCCTTGAACCTGGGAGAAGGAGGTTGCAGTGAGCTGAGATCGTGCTATTGCACTCCAGCCTGGGTGACAAGAGCAAAGCTCCATCCCCCCCCCACAAAGAACTTTTATTGACTCCAAAATTAATGTGTGTGTGTGTGTGTGTGTGTGTGTGTGTGTGTGTATGGATAATGGATATATACATATATATAGAGAGAGACAGAGACAGAGAGAGATAGTATATAAAAATATATAATTTTGGGGCATGGTGGCACCCCCCTGTAGTCCCAACTACTCAGGAGGCAGAGGAGGGAGGATCTATTGAGCCCAGGAGTTCAAGGCTGCAGTGAGCCCTGACTGTGCCACTGTACTCCAGCCTGGTAGACAGAGGAGACTCTGTCTTAAAAAACAAAAACAAAAAAATGAAAAAGAGAATATATAATGTTTTGGCCAAATCCTTTTGAGTATTGGCTCCTAAAATTTAAAACTTTGTTTGCCAATTTATTAATATATTAATATTTTGTTATGTTGTTTTCCTTTTTCTTGAGACGGAGTCTGTCTCTGTCACCAGCCTGGAGTGCAGGGGCACTTTCTCGGCTCACTGCATCCTCTGCCTCCCGGGATCAAGCGATTCTCGTGCCTCAGCCTCTCCAGTAGCTGGGACTACAGGCGCCCACCACCATGCCTGGCTAATTTTTTTTTTTTTTTTTTTTTTTTTGTATTTTTAGTGGAGACGGGGTTTCACCATGTGGGCCAGGCTGGTTTTGAACACCAGATCTCGTGATCCACCTTGCCTCGGCCTCCCAGAGTGCTGGAATTACAGGTGTAAGCCACCACTCCCAGCCTGTTAACATTGTTTTCTAAACAGACCTTTTCCAACTTCTTACTCCATGTTGATTTCACAATAATCAAACCAGACCAATACCCTTTTCCTGTTCCCTACAGAGCTACACACAGCACACCTCAGCTTCCAATTAGAGGACTGGATGAAATAGCTTTGATTTCATTCTGTTGGGCTTTGAGGTTCACCAGGTAGTAGCTTTTTTTGATTATTTTGAATTTTAAAAAATATTCGTTTTTGAAAATTTGGAAAACTTTAAAAAGCACTGAGAAGAAAAAGCTATCCATTATTATCCCATCAAATGTTTTATGTACTTGAAGTCATTTTTCTATGCATTTAGATTTTTAAAAATTGCGATCTTTTACACATGGTTTTAGAAAAAATTTTATCGATTTATTTATTTTGAGACTGGGTTATGAGACTGGCTAATTTTTGTATTTTTGGTAGAGACAGGGTTTTGCCATGTTGCCCAGGCTGGTCTCAAACTCCTGGGCTCAAGGAATCCACCTGCCTTCACCTCCCAAAGTGCTGGGATTACTGGCATGAGCCACCATGCCCAGCTAGAGCTTAGTTTGTTTACTAACATTTGATTTTCACAAATATCATAACAAAGACAATAATCTCATTATAATTTAACAATCA